GTGATCAGTTCTTATAAAACTTCTGGCCAAGAGAAACACCGGCTGATGCCACACGTTACGGGACTGACTGACTGACCTTTTACCCCACCAAGACATCAAACAAGCGACAAACACCCGGTGACACAAAGTGTCCCAGAAAACGCCTTTCATCCGTTAGTCCATATCTATGGCTAGGCCATATCTATGCTCCTGTTATATTCGGGGTCCACGGCAGAAACCAGGGTGGGGCTTCAAATAACAAAAAATTGCGTTCCACATGGAGGGCGACTAGCTCATAACGTTACGGGTCACTGAGTGAACTTAAAAAGACAGTGAATTTCATACTATAGAGACGATAGCATTGCAGATATAGATAATCTATTTCAAGCAAACGAAAGGGGAAGAATGAGATCAGTTCTAGTTTAAAGAAGCCAATGCTGGAGTTTTACCATGGCCAAACTTTAGTAACTAAAGTTTGGCCATGGTTTTACCATGTTAAAACAATAACATTATGGGGCAGAAGGGTTCGATTAGCAATTTAGATTAATGAGTTCACCAACAGCTAGCTGCAGTGAGATAAGAGTCGGGAACGTGTACGGTCTTTGGACTGGCTAATGAACTTTCGTTGAACTGCATGGCACCGAAAGAATCTATATCTGTTGAAAAGGAGAAATACTGACATCCTGAAAATCTGAACATCAAGGAAAATTGGCTAATAAACAGCATCCTGTCTCAGAAACTTTTTGTCATATTAAGCGAAACATCGGAAAGGGGAAAAAAAGGAGTCACTTATATCCTGCGCCCATCTTCGTATCTGTCGGCCCCTGTCCCTCCTTCCTGGTACCATGCCTTCTGCTATAATTTTTTTTCCAATCCGTCGTGGCGCTTGATTTGACCAAAATATTTCAGCTTTCGAGAAAGGATGCTGTTTATTAGCCAATCTTATTAATGTTCAGATATTTTAAGATGTCAATATTTCTCCTCTTCTTTGTCCAAGATATTCTGAGAATCTTTCTATAGCATTTCAGCTCAAAAGCCCCTATTCTCTTTCTTAAGGACTGAGAGATAGTCCACGACTCACATCCGTATGTAGCCACAGGGAAGATGCATGCTCTCAAAATTCTAATTTTTATCTCCTTGTTGGTGCTTAACCATAGACTCTAAAGGCTGTTCATTCTTTGCATTGCTATGGCCATCTTCCTTTTTAGTGTGTTGGTAGAAAGTGGAAAAATTGGCCTTAGTTTGAATAATGGAAAGACAGAAGTAATGGTGGTATCAAAGAAACGAATTATTCCTAAATGTGTAATAAAAGTCAATGGTTTTATTTTAGGACAAGTACAGAAATTTAATAAGTATCTGGGCACATGGATAACATTAGATGGAAGATGCGTAACTGAGATCAGAAATAAAATAGGACAGGCAAAAACTACATTTTATAAAATGAAGAATATCTTATGCAATTTATCCTTGTCATTGAAGGTTAGAAAATAATTCTTTCTTGCTACATACATCCAGTTTTAACATATGGCTGTGAGTCCTGGACAATCGGTAGGCAGGCTAAACAATTTCTTGAGGCCTCAGAGATGTGGTTTTACAGTAGAATGCTTAAAATACATTGATCAGCCAAAATGAGCAGCCACGATGTTTTAAAAGAGGTGGGAGCCGGAAGACAACTTATCACAGACATCAGAAGGAGACAGTCATCAATTTTTCGGCCATATTATGAGAAGAGGGAAAATGGAACATGTTGTGACCACTGGAAAAATCTGCGGAAGGAGAGACAGAGGAAGACAACGAGAGAAAATTCTTGACAGTCTTGTTGCATGGCATGGAGGTGTGTCAGCACACAAACTGATACATGCTGCAGGAGATCGCAGATTGTGGAGAGGTATGATCGCCCACGCCAGTCGGCAAGGCACCTGATGATGATGATGAACTAAGACGGTCTCCATCTGTTAGATGGAGACGGTCTTAACTGAACCCTGAATAATGCTTTCACTGGTAACTGTCTAATTTGCAATGGCAACAGAAATATTTACGTTATCTATAACCATCTTTGTGTTATCTATAACAATGTTAATCTTGTTTCAGCATGATACATAGTCCCGATATCACGGTATAGGAAAGGAAAATTATATAAATACTCGTTTCATATACACATTGAGGAATAGAGACTTGAGAGGCTATCACTGTTTACAAGTGCACTCATCACTCGTGGGTTAAAAACACCTGACCACACAAGTGAAAGTCTTATCAGGCACAGGTATTGCATGAGTGTAACCTCAATGACATATGCACACACAAACACACACACACACGTGTGTGTGTATTGTGCGCGTGATAATCGAAAAGAGAAGCCCAACGGCGTTGCCACGGCAAAATTTGGAGTTAAAAATCTACCCAGGTATTTCAGGATCATCGCCGGTGCTACGGAGTTCGTGCACTGCGCTGAGAATCTTCGAACTCAGGCTGGAGTCAGAAGTAGAACGGAGCACTTATGGGTTACTACCATATATATATATATATATATATATATATATATATATATATATATATATATATATATATATATATATATATATATATATATATATATATATATATATATATTTATTTATATATATATAGATATAACACTATCACCAACACCATATATATATATATATATATATATATATATATATATATATATATATATATATATATATATATATATATATATATATATATATATATATATATATATATATATATATATATATATATATATATAACAATATCAAAACCAGCATTATCCCTGATGACTGTCTTCATAGCTACATCAGACTCGGTCCTAAGCCTGAGAAAGATCATGCAAAATAAATGGTTACAAAATCATAACACTCTAGAACAGTGGTTCTCAACCTTTCCAATGCCGAGACCCTTTAATACAGTTCCTCATGTCGTAGCGACCCCCCAGCCATACAATTATTTTCGTTGCTACTTTATAACTTCAATTAGTATGTGTTTTTCGATGGTCTTTCGATGGTCTTTGGTCACCCCTATGAGATGATCGTTTGACCCCACAAAAAAGGGTAGCGACCCATAGGCTGAGAACCGCTGCTCTATAACAATCCACTGACCTGCATCGTCCTCCCCTCCCACGGCTGGAATTGAAAAGTTCTGTGGAGCAAATACACGGAATAATGTAGCCTCTCTGACTGTTGTTCGCTGCAGCTACCACTACAAAAATAATAGCTACTACTACTACTACTGCTGCTGCTACTACTACTATTACTATTACTAACGCAACTACTGGTCATAAGCGTGTGACTCCCATGTGGTCACCTCCAGCATTCTTTGTCTTCTTCTTCTTCTCTTCCACCTTGTACCTCATCGAAGTGTCGGGGGGAGATGCAATGTTTGTTGATGAGCTCTGTCAAGAGCACTATTAAGAATGATGTTCATTTCTGTAAGGTTGTTCTTAATACCATCACTCCATATTTTCCGATGTCTTAAACTCGCTGTATACCCGTTGTAACGTCTTAGTGTGGCTCGCTGTGGCAGATAGTACCAGGGCATTCTTGTTAGGTGTCCAAACCACTTCATTTGTTGTTCTTTGATGACCTATAAGACTGGCTTTACTCTTAGCATTCATCTGATTTCATGATTTCGTATTCTGTCTTTCATTGAAACTCCTGCAGCTCTTCTAAGGCATTTTATCTCTGTTGTCACAATTTTACGTTCATTGGAGGATGTAAGTGTCCACGTTTGGCATTGATAGCATAGTGTTGGCCAAAAAATAGTTCTGATAAGATTCACTTTAGTACTCCGAGGTGTCTGTGTGTGTGTCAACAGGGGAGATAGTTGCCCCATTACTTGATTGGCTTTGGCACATCAGGAGTTAATTTCTCAGTCCAGTTTTCCGTCGGATGTGAAAACTGCTCCCAAATACTTAAATTCCTCTGTTTGTCTCAGTGTGTTGTTTTTTAATTGTATTTCTGAATTGTCTTTATGTCTTCCTATCATCATTGTCTCTGTCTTTCTAGTGTTTATTTTCATATTATATTCCTCCCCCTTGTTACTAATTTGATTTAGGTGGTTCTGTAGGCATTCCGTATTTTCTGCTATGCGTACCTGGTCGTTGGCGAATAGCAATTCTGTAATATCTTTTTCATGATTAAAGTTCGTTTCGCTATATATGGTATTCATGTATGTTATAAAAAGAAGCGGCGATAGAATACAGCCCACCAGAGTTCACTATACAAGTTCTTGACAACCCTGCCTTCGATCTTACGCAGCATTTACTACGCGTGTACAGGCTTTTGCAAATATTACTGAAATGATTGCTAATTCCCTTTTCCCCCCATACATTCCCACAACATATTCCTGTCGACCTCCGGCATTAATCTTAAGTAAATTGTGGATTTTTCATTGTATGCTGGATATGCTCTCAAAATAATCACATTGCATCGCTGCACATGTGAAATGATTTTCAAACAACCTCCGGGCGTGTGTATTACTGAATGTTCTATTTTTTAAGGGGTACAGCAATTATTAGTCAACCAAGGATCTAATTAGCAGCTTCAAGAAAACAGCAGCTTCTGTGCAGTTTCACATTATAAAATCTTAAGAATCTGGGAAATCTAAGGAGGACACATGCAAAACATTCGTGTTTATCCGTACAGATATCTGTTAAAGTGTGAGGGCACGAATTTTGAAATGCACTACAGAAAGGTGGGGTAGCTCAATAGTGGACATGCTTGCCTGCCAGTTCAGCGCTCAAAGGTTCCACTTAGAATTGTAAATTTACTATGGGTTCACAAGTCGACCTAACCCAAGACGCCTCGCAGGAAATCCTCAGAGAAGTACAGGTAGATGTCATGATACAGATCATATCACTGAGTTCGAAATGTTCTTTAAATGTATGGGGGAACAAAATACGCCAAATATACCGTAAGGCTTAGATATGGGATGTTTTATTCACTACACTGTTTCTTCTTCTTCTTCTTCTTCTTCTTCTTTTTTTTTGTCCCAGTCTTCTTCTTCTTGTCTTATTCTTATTTTTCTTGTCCCATTCTTCTTCTTCTTGTCTTATTCTTATTTTTCTTGTCTTCTTCTTTTTCATGTATGTATGTAATGTATGCATGCATGTTTGTGTGTGTAAGTGAGTGGGTGAGCGTGTGTATGCGGGTGTATGTATGCACGCGCGGGTTTTTGCATGCACTTTACAACTCATGCTTTTGTGTTCTTTTATAATATTCATAATATGCATAACATCATATGATCATAACATGCTTTATTAGTAAAATACAACTGCTGTGCGAAAGATGGTTGACTGGAAGGGCCGAATGTAAGACGGGCCTGCGTGCCCAATTTGTGACCCTTTGAAAATAAAGTTCGTTCGTTCTTTTTCTTCTCCCTTCTTTGTCGTTATCGTCGGTTTTTTTTTTTTTTCTGCGCTCACTCATAAAATGTCGGTTGGCACGTTGTACTGTTGTTTACAGCCCGGCTGAAGTAGCTATGCCGCTCAATCCAACCAGTAAACCTCTAGTGAGTTGCATTTTAATTTGCTTGCTAGGAGCAGTGGGTAGACTGGTACCGTCCGATATCAAGCCCAAGAACCTGGGCGGGGAGCTTAACGCGTACTGTATCAAAACCTGCTATGCCATGTTGAGACAAACGCAAAGAATAGAAGACAGTCCTTCTCGAAAAATGTCACAACTGTAAACTAACTAAAGAGATTAGATGTAGATATTCGAGATTTTTCGACCTATTATGGAAAGGAATGGGCTTAAGAATTCGATGACAACAGGTAAAGCGGACGGTTTATGATCGAATGCTGATAGAAGCCATGAGCTTAGATGAAATAACATATTATGAATATGCGAACGAGGAAAAGTGCGGATCTGGCAAGGAGGGTCGTGTGAGAAGAAGAGAACGACGAGTTTATAATCAGTGTGCTACGGGAACAGTTTGCATCTACAACTTTAAATATTTGCCGTGGGAGACGGAGTACTAATGGGTATACCCGGTGTGGTATGATAGTTAGTTGCGTATCCTTTACAGGATGTTGCAGAACCAGTCCGAGCATTTTGCTGTTGTTGTTGTGGTTTTTCTAGGCAAATCTTACGTTCAGTATACGGTCAGATCTCGATACCTCTGTCGAAACCAGCGGAAGACAAATCGTCCGCAGCTGGGATTGAACCCGGCATTACGAAGTGTGTTCTAACGCCTAAGTCACAGATGCCGAAAATCAGTGAATCAGAATATGCCGGTGGTGTTGATTGTGGGCGATGACGATGATGATTATCATGATGGTAGTGGTGATGATAGGGGAAGACGATAATGATGACTGTCATGGTGGTGGTGATCAAGGAGAAAAACAAACTTAATTGATGTAATGTAAATTGTACATACCTGGGATCCATCTCCGAAATTATAGATCGATGGGTCGTAGGAGTTATTGCTGGACAACCAGGGAACAAGTATACTGTCTACACGATCTGTGTCATTGCGGCCAACACTTTGGTCGTCATCTATGTCCATGCTGGTCAAAATAATCTCGGGGTTGTAAGTTGCAGATAACGAAAACCATAAGGCACAAGGTTATTTCCCGCCTTTATATGATGTTACAACATCCAGTTTCTGCTTCTGTTTACTCTAGATGATGTTTCAGACAGCAGTTACCGGTGTTTCCACCTTCCGGAAATGATGTTAATGCTTCTAGTTACTCCAAACCATCTTTTAGCCACAAATTAGTGATGCTTCTACCTTCAAGAAATGGTGTTGCTGTTTCTGTCTACTCCAAATGATGTATCAGCCACCAGTTAGCGATGTTTTGACCCTTCAGGAAGTGACGTCAGTGTTTCTGTTTACTCGGCATGACGTTTCAACCACTGGTTAGCTATGTTTCCACCTTTGATATTACCACCAGTTTTGCTTCTATTCGCTTCGGGGATGTATCTGCCACTCTTGTTTCAAGCAACAATATTTCTTTTTAGACCAATAGTGTTTTGTTTTATTTGTTGTTGTTGTTGATCGAATATTTATATCCTTAACTGACCATGCTTTTTCTTCTAGCCAATAACGTTTCTCCCTCCATCGGACTACGTTCATTTAGCACGGAGACACGGTCCGTGTGCTTGTGTAAAAGGCCATAGACTCATGAATCCCCTTATCTTAGGTGGCCGGAAATCATCAAACGACTGGTTGGTCCAAGTCACGCGATCTACATATTTTAACACACGGCCTTAGGTCAAAGGTCATACTGATAGCAAGCACAGAAGTGGTCAACCGGAGCCTTGTAAACAAGATAGATAACGCTTTTGTCTCGCTGTGGTTCGGGACCTGTACATACACTATCCGTCCAGTAACAAAAATACAGACAAATCAACCAGAGCGAAAAGTAGAACAAGCAAGAACCTTGATAATCTCCATGTACGGGGCCTGACGGGAGAAAGGCGATGAGATTAATCCATAGCACCGACAAGCATATCCTAAAGGGCGACTAATTATGGGTTGTTGAAATCTGACGTATTGTGCCCAAAGGTGTAGTAATAACAGCCTGCTGTAAACCAAAGCCCAACGTACGGAACGCGCTTTTAAAAGTCGGCGTTGAAGTAGTAGTAGTAGAAGAAGGAGAAGAATTGTACACATGTATCCTAACTCATGCTATTTGACAGCAGACCACCTTGCGTTGATTTTGACAGTGGTATCTAAAGTCACACCCCGAAGAAAGGGAGAATTGCAGAGTCCCTAAGGGCATCATCTAAGGTGAATTAAAGGCAGGTAGAATATGTCGAGGCCGACCTCTACTACGATATAAAAATGTGTGCAAACAGGACATTAATAATACAGGTATTGAGGTGGACTCGTTTTTTTTTTTTTTGGGGGGGGGGGGGGCATGAACCGTGTGGTACGGAGTGAAATCTTGAAGGGAATGAGAATAAAGCAATAAATAATTGCAGAAGGAATGAAAACTGAGCGTCAGACAAGAAACAGACTCAACACAAATGTTAACAACAACGGTCCTGAAATCCCATGCTATAAGTTTGGAAGACTTTTCTTAACTCAGGCGGGTCTTGCTAGTCACACTCACCATCGCCATGGGCTGTGAGTCCCATGCCTCATCATAGCGCAATATAACCCTATCGTCTGGAAAGACGGAAAAGGGCCAATCAATCCATCATCTAAAGTCGACCGCCCAGAAAGCAATGCATAACAAACTAAGTGAATGTAAATTTGCCTGGGGAAAAAAATCACAACCGCCTTAAACAAACAAACAGAGCTCGACTTCGTTCTGTCATCATCATCAGTTCTCGTTATGCCTAGTGGCACATGAGGCTTCAGAGAGGACTTTCCATGCTTTCCTGTCCTGTGCAATCTTCAGTGCAGTTTTCCATGTCAAAGATGCCGCACTCAGGTCACTTTCCATCGTTGCGTCTCCATGTTGTTTTTGGGCGCCCCTGTTTTCCTTTTCCCTCTGGTGTCCACGTGAGTGCTGTTTTGGCAGGTACATCAGGATTCATTCTCATAACGTGGCCAAGCCATTTCCATCTTCTCTTGGTTATCATACTGTCTAAACTTTCTTGGTCTGTGACCTCGTTCTGTAACCTCATGTAAATGGATACGCAACTAATTGCATTTATAGCTCCGTAAAAGGTGAAAGTTAGAGGATAGAGTAAATTACACAGGGTTTTATCCTATATGACTAATTCTCTCTCTCTCTCTCCATCTCTCTCTCTCTCTCTCTCTCTCTCTCTCTCTCTCTCTCTCTCTCTCTCTCTCTCTCTCTCTCTCTGCAGAACAGCTATCTGCCTGCTGACAGCGTCACACAGACCATGATCTACGTAGCTCCGGCCATGATCCCCGGGAACCACTGTAAAATTGCACTCGTGAACAAAACGGCGCCGCCGCGAAACGAACCCACAACTTTCAGTCACAATATCCATCCTGGCTTGTTGACGCCCGCCATCTTTGTGTGTTGCCTGTATCACACATATAGCACAGATTGATCTATACCAGAGGTTTTCAGCTGTTTTCAGGTATATATATTCTTCGAATATATGGCAAGGGAACTCTGGCCCAGTGAATCAACAGTGCAGGTATGGAACTAACAGAGAACTGCCAAAAACAGTCAAGTTTATCACAATAACTTGTCTGTCATTGTAAATCAGAAAGCGACCACAAGGTGAAGAAGAATATATGGCAAGAGTCCTACCCACCCCACCCCAACTCTATAAAGAGTGAGATTAGAAAGAGGAGGGACCCCTCCCCCACCCCCCCCCCCCCCTCAACCACACACAAAAATCAAAGCACTACTGACAAGAATTGTTTTTTCCTAGTATTGCGATTTTTTTACGGTAAATGTACATCATCATCATCAAGTTCCTTGCAAGCTGGCGTTAGCGTTTATGCGTTGCCAAAGATCTCGGTCTTTGATGTTCTCAAACCATTCCCCTGATGATATTCCTCCATGCCACAGTCTTGAGCCATTCACTATAATTTCTCTAGGTCTGCCTCTGCCTCCTCTACCAGTGATCTTTCCAGTCGTCACGATATTTTCCAGTGCACACATTGCTCGACAAATCAATAATGAATCAGTCAATCAGCAGGTCATTTACAGAATGTCGCTCTCTCTCTCTCTCTCTCTCTCTCTCTCTCTCTCTCTCTCTCTCTCTCTCTCTCTCTCTCTCTCCGTCCACACCCCCCCCCCCACAACCCCCAGGCTTTTCTCCAGCCCTGATGTTTTCATAGTCAATGCATCCTCAATGGCCCGTGTCCACAATCGCAGTGGTCGGTCTCTGCCTCGCTTTCCTTAAATTAAACAAATATTAGCCAACCCATGAGTGTATGCAGTGCTCTTACAAATTAATCAAGTGCCGTCTCCACAGTTGAAGGTTGGTTTTAATGGATTTGATAAAATTTCTATATTTCATCTTAGTTGCCCGAAACATTAAACGTGTCGCTTTTTAAATTCTACATTTAATTCTTTATCTTTTTTTCCTCTGTATTTCTTTTTCTTCGCGTCCAGTGGCTGTAAACTCTGGCGACAAGTTCTGGATGTTCGTTCACGTCTGGACTTTAGTAATGTTACAAAACTCTGAGTTTTGCGTGCACGTTCGTTTCACAGGTCTGGTTTATGTAAATCAGGGCTGCCAATGAGACTTTTTTTTGTGTGTGTGAAAAACCCAGCTTCGCTAAACAAAAACCCAAGCAATACATTCACAAAGAACAATAAAAAAAAATTAAAAAACCCAGATTGTTGAAATGTACAACATTTATAGTTACGAAACGAAACATTTACCACTTTTATATGAGGATATTTTTTTAAAAACCAGATTTCCCCAAGGCGTCAAATAAAAACCCAGATATGGGGGGAAAACCCAGCATTGGCAGCCCTGATGTAAATTCTTAGTTTCTTGCCTCTCAAGCGATACACACCCCGACTTCGAAGAAAACCCTCTAATTAGTTGACTCGTACCACATGTTTCTTGGACGCTAGTGGCTCTATGTTTGTTCCCCTCATAATAGGACATTGGAACCCACACGGGAAGAATGTCAGTCGATTGTTTGTTCAGTAAAGTTGTTGATCTGGGCGTTACTTTTGTTTCCTTAAGTTTGACCTGTTTTATATCTGGGGTTTGGCTCTCTCTGTGGTTATCTAGTGTGCACTACACCTTCTGCAAGAGTCTTTATCTTAGTAGAGGTATACATGAAGTGACGACATCATGTTATTTGATAATTAGGTCATTGATATTTTCAACTAAGGTGACAAAATATGATTAGGGTTTCTTTTTGTTAAAGAATTAGACATTGTATAACGACATGAGTTGTTGTTGTTGTTGTTTTTCTTTTTTTTTTCTTCCTCTTTTTCCTCTTTTTCTTCTTCCTCTTTTTCTTCTTCCTCTTCTTCTTCTTCTTCTTTTCTTCTTGTTCTTCTTCCTCTTGTTCTTCTTGTTCTTCTTCCTCTTCTTCTTCTTTCCTTCTTCTTCTTTTCTTCTTCTTCTTTTTCTTCCTCATCTATCTTGATGTCTAGATCTTTTAGTATATGAGTTTTTTCTTCTTCTTGGTTTGTGGTACTTTTTTATACAGCGCAAAAGCTTATATTGTCTTCCAAAAGGACAGCGAGACGGTCAATGACTCATATCTGGATGTTGTTATATGGAAGTTGCATGCTCTCAAAATGACTGATTGTCTTGCTGGATCTTAACCCTAGACTTGTAATGCTCTTTAATCTTTGCATTGCTATGGCCACCCCCCCCCCCCACCCTTTTTCTGTTAAAGAGTTAGTTTCCTTTGATGTTCGAATCTCGTATAATGTCAATATATCCCTGAACTTCACCCGCTGATTTCTACGATGGCTCTCTAATATAGAAATACATTTTTTAGAGCTGACACCTGAAGTACCATCAAATGGGAAATGTTTTCTTGCCCGGGTTGTATCTAAGTATGATCGCTTTGACATTTGAAGATCATGTCTTCTCCAACCCCACCAGTTACACACATAAAACCCCACCCATCTGATAAAATGTGTACTTATTTAT